TTGTCTTTTGAGGCTAGGTGTGTTTCCTGCAGATAGCAAATGAATGGCTTGTGTTTTTTTAATCCAGTCAGCCAATCTTTGCCTCTTCAGTGGGGAATTCAAGCCATTAACATTTATTGAGAGTTCTATTCATCTTATTTTGTGAGAGTCCATTGCTCAATTTTGTCTTTGGCATCATTGTGGAAGCTAGATTCTGTCCTTTAATTTCTGGGTGCTTACTTTGCTGTTGGTCCATTGTGATGGTCAGGGTGTAGGACAGGTTGAAGTATTTCCTGTAGAGCTGGTCTTATTGTGGCAAAGTTCCTCAATGTTTGCATATCAGTAAAAGATTTGATTTCTCTGTCAATTTTAAAGCATAGCTTAGTGGGATATAGAGTTCTAGGCTGGAAATTGTTCTGTTTAAGTAGATTAAAGGTAGATGACCCTTCTTCTGGCTTGAAGTGTTTCATTAGAGAAGTCAGTGGTCACCCTGCTGGATTTGCCCTTGCGGGCCCAGTGTACTTACTCCTGGCAGCTTGCAGAATCTTTTCTTTTGTCTTGACTTTGGACAGGTTCATTGCAATGTATCTGTTAGAGTTGAGGAGATCCGGGGTCTGGTATCCTTCTGAAAGGAATGTGTCAGAATCTTTGGTGATATTTGGGAAATTTTCACTTATAATATTCTCTAGAATGGCTTCCCTTCCCCTGGGGCATTCTTCTTCCCCTTCTGGGATACCTACAACTCATATGTTTGAACTTCATAAAGTTCCATAATTCTGTCAGTGAACGTTCTGTTTTCTCTCTTTTCTTTTCTGCCTCTTTAACTATCTGAGTTATCTCAAGAGCTTTGTCCTCTACCTCTGAGATTTGTTCTTCTGCATGGTCTAATTGGTTGTTGATACTTCCTATTGCATCTTGAAGTTCCATAATTGACTGCTTCAGTTCCTTCAGCTGTGCTATATCCTTTCTATATTCTTCATATCGTTCAACTCTTATTTGATTCTGTTTTTGGATTTTCTTTTTGGTTATTTTCCACTTTATCAGCATTTTCCTTCATTGTTTCCTTCATTTCCTTCATTATTTTCGTCATCCGTATTCTAAATTTCCTTTCTGTCATTTCTAACATTTCTTTACAAGTGAAATCCTCTGCGGTAGCTACCTCACGGTCCCTTGTTGGGGGGGATTTGAGGGGCAGGGATTGTTCTGGACTGGTTTTTCATGTTGCCAGGATTTTTCTACTGATTCTTCCTCATGAGTGCTTTCTTTTATCTGTTTCCTTGCCCTAATTTTCCTTTCACTTCCTCTTGCTCTTTAAGTCACTGTGCCTCTGGCCTAAGATTTTGATGAGTCCTTTTGGCACAGAACCAGAAGGATGAGAAGATTGAAGAGCAAGAAGGGAAAAATGATTATAAAAAAAGAAAAAAGAGAAAGGAGAGAGAGTAAAAGGGAATATTGACAAAAAGAAGTGAGGCACAGAAAGAGGGAGACAGGAGTAAAAAAGGTGTACAGTAGGGTACTTTCACCTACCCTTAAAACCTCCCCCAACCTCTGGGGGTGCTGGGCTGGGTGGTTCCCTCAAGGTGAGCAGCATTTGTCAGTCTGAGCAGACACAGTACCCCACTTCCACCAAATAGAGAGGAAAGACAAAAATGCTAAGGATCAAACCAAAACAAACTGAAAATGTTACAGGATAAAATTGGGGAAAAAAACAAATAGGGGCAGAAAAACTAGAAAAAATGAAGTTCTTATTATTAAAGAGGGCAAAAATGGAAAATTATATTTAAACAAGAAAAATAAAGAAAGAAAAGAAGAAAAAGAATTTAAAAGAAAAGTCTAGAGGGAAAATGTTGAAATTAAACAAACAAAAAAACCCCCAAACAGTATATAAATCTTGCTGAATATTGTCTCGTGTCTGGGCAACAGGTGATCTTATGAGGTATTAATCACAGTGCTGATACAGCTGTATGAGATGGAGACTGGAGGCCTCTGCTGATTTCTCAAACCCTGCCGGGTTGAGAGCCTAAACCTCTCCTCAGCCCGCTTAAAAGACACTTTAAACTGTTAACCTGGGCTAGGCAGGAGCTTTCCCAGGAAAGCACTTATCTCTGGGATCTCTCCTGAGGTGACTGCCTGCTTATCCAGTGCGCCAAAACCCATCTCACTCTATGCCCCGGGATGGCTGAGTTTGCAAGGCAGCCTTTCTACTTTCCAAACCTGGAACACTCCACTCTTCAGTCCTGGCCTTTGGCCTGCTCAGTCACAAGAGCACTCGCCCAAGGTCTCTCAGCCCAAGCCCAGCTCTGTGACCCCGAGGACAGAGCCCGCAGGAGCCCATCTCCCACAATGGCTGCGCGGCCCACAGCTGAACAATATTAGCTCCGCTCAGACTCAGCAGCTCAGTCTGGTGCCCTAGACAACAGCCCTAGACAACGCTTAAAGTCATCCGCACTCTTGCCCCAGTTCTCCCAAGGTAGTTCAACCGAGTTCCCAAGTCCATAAAAAACAAAACAACCTACAGGAAAGGCTTTTCCTGCTTGCAATCTCACTGCTATTGTTGATACAGCAGTGGGCAGCCACTGCCCAGATGTAACCACTTGCCTGTTCTCCACTACTCTTGTCCTCTTCCTGGGGTCCAGAAGTCTCTCGCTGTCTCCCTGCATCCCCAAAGGGATGTTTCTGGGCAGAGCCCACAAGCCAGAGATGCCTGAAGTCTTCTCTCCCCAGTCCTGCTGCGCCTGGTTGCAAAGAAGCCGTTATGCGGCTGCCATCTTGCTCTGCCCCACAAGTTGAAATTCTTTTTTTTTTTTCAGTTTTTGGCCAGGACTGGGTTTGAACCTGCCACCTCCAGTATTACTCCTTTGAGCCACAGGCGCTGCCCTACAAGTTGAAATTCTTTAATGTGCCATCGTACAGAATACTTTGCCGATCTGAGTCTAATCTATACCCCCACCCCCCCACCCCTCAGTGCTGGGTGTGCTTTTCTGTTGTGATGAGACAATGGGAGGATGATAATGGCAGTTGCCCTGTCCCCACTGGCTGGGAATGGTGCTTGCTTCTCTCACAACCCAGCAGGCACTCCTCAAGTCTTTGCTTATAATGTTTTTTTCTGCTTTTTGCCTGAAATTTTTCTCTTAATTCTTTGAGGCCCAGTGCAAATGCCTCCTCCTCTCCCATCCTGTAATAGTTGATTGCTGCTATAACAGATGTCCACAAATTTAGCAGCTTAAAATAATATTCATTTTTTTCTAATCTCACAGTTCTGTTCAGTCTGTGGCTAGAGGGGGATGTAGCTGCCCCCGCCCTTAGGGTCTCACAGGCAGAAATCAAGGTATTAGCAGGGCTGTGATCCTTTCCAGAGGAGCTGGGATAAGTGTGCTCCTGGCTCCTTCTTGAGCAGGCCACACGCAGTTCCTTGTGGTTGCAGGACTGAGGTCCCTTTGCCTCTGGTTGTCAACGGGGCTGATCTTTGCTCCCAATGTGTGTCCTAGTCCTTCCTGATTTCCTTGCAGCCCCTCCATCAAGCTCACATCACGTTTTCTCAGGCTCACATCTCTCTGGCTTTCCCCTCTGTTCTCCTTTTGAAGACTTTGTGGTTGTATCAGGCTCACTCTGATAATCCAGGATAATCTCCTGGTCTGTACCCTTAGTGACATCTACAAAGTGCCTTTGCATGTAGGGTTAACATACTCACAGGTTCTGGTAAGGTGTGACCTCTTTGGGAGCCATTATCCTGGTGACCACATCGTGGCTCCCCCAAGCATAATTAAGTGACCTTGAATGCACCCTCCACGGTGGGGACATGTCAAAGTCTTCTTCGGTACCTTTGTACCAAGCCCAAGTGGGCCCTGGATCTTTGTAGACCTTCCTGTGTCCCCACCTTGGTATCTGGGTCCTGTCCCTGCTCCCCTCCAATCAAGTGCCCTCTCCCCAGCTCACCTCCCGCTCACCTAGCTGAACACCTGTAATGACAAGAATGAGTGGACAGATGGTGGGATGTTGGGAGACACAGGTTAACACAGCCACGCGTCATTCTGCCACAGAGTGATTAGGTTTGGGAAAGCATCACGGCAGAAGTCACAGACACTTAATCTCATGCTAGAAAAAGGGGTAGGCTTTCTGCACAGAAGGACGAAGGAGTGTCCTTCCAGGCAAAGGAATGCGAGAGAGGTGGGGACGAGGAGCCAGTGCTGGGGATTGAGGAGCGTGCAGCAGGGCTGGGGCAGGGTGAATATTGGTCAGAGACATGAAGCTACCACCTCACCCCAGGAAGGATGCCACAGAGACCCCAACCCCAGGATGTGCTGTGGAAAGGTCGAAAGTTCCCTGGCAGCCCAGCCAACCAATGAACGGACTGTTGACATCACAAGAGGTTTGAAGCTGTGGTTAACACAAATTAAATGTTATTTAAAAGTTTGGCTCCATTGTGGGAAGGGACAGATACAGTCTTTAGCAAGGAGGCCTCTTGCCAGGACCAGGGCGGGTGAGGGGGCTGAGGCGGGTACAAGGTGGGGTCTGTATCTATTCCACAGAGTCAGCAGGTGTGTCCTTTGGTCTTGGGACTACCCACGATAATTTGGATATTTTATATTAGGAGGAAAGGGGACAAGCTGATTTCCAAAGAAAGAGGGGAGAACATGGCTTCTACCCACGGTGTAATCATGAAAAAAAAATGGCTGTAACACTGGGAGTTAATGTTATGAAAGTCATTTCTATGTTAATTTTCTCTTCAGTGAGGACTTGTATCCATAATGTGAAATTTCAATTTGAAAAATCCCCACCCCCTCATTTTACCCAGTCTCCTACGTGAACATTTTTAAATCGAGGCAGTAAAATCTCTAAACTGCAATTAACCTCCAAAATGAGAGTTTTCGATAGAAAGGAGTGCCAGGCTTGGCAGATGAACAGTTTCTCACGGGGCACGATGGGGCGACGTCACTGCACCCAGGGATTGCAGAGGGTGAAAGTTGGGCTCCAGGGCGAGCTCGCCAGCTGTCTAAACGTGTGCCTTCCCTCCCTGCTAGGTGGACGCCCACGGGAATATTCTGTTAGCGTCGCTGGAGGTTCACAATGAAATGAACGAGGTGGCGGGCGGTGTCGGCGACACCAGGAATTCAGCAATATCCTTTGACAACTCAGGAATCCAGTACAGGAAACAGAGTGTGCCCAGGGAAGGGCACGGGCGGTTTGCAGGGGACAGAAGCATCCCACACAAGAAGACTCACCTTCGGAGGAGGTCTTCGCAGCTCAAAATCAAAATCCCCGATCTCACCGATGTGAATGCCATAGACAGATGGTCCAGGATCGTGTTCCCATTCACTTTTTCTCTTTTCAACTTAGTTTACTGGCTGTACTATGTTAACTGAGTGACTGTACTTGATTTTTCAAAGACTTCATTTAACACTGAGTGAAATATTACTCTGCCTGTCAAGTTTTTATACCTGTACACACACAGACAGACACACACGCAGACACACACGTGTATACATACGCAATTGTATATATATATGTGAACTTTCTCAGCATATATATAAAATACATGTGTATATGAGGATGTGTGTGTATATGTTTATCCACATGGGTTGTGAGTACCCGTGTCCACAGAAAACAAATACACATACATGTATACATTTTGCAGCTACGGACAATTTAACACAGGATGCATATTAAAGAAAGTCAGAGTTTTTTTTTCTTTTCTTTTTTAATGGAAAGGGACAAGTTGTCATTTAATATCATGCCTTGAGAACGAGGACGTGGAACACAATATCATCCCCAAGTGTGTCTTTTATTATCATTAAGTTAGATGTTTTAGTTTAAAGATCAGGAAGACATTCTTTGCAAACACACACAGTGGTACTGCTTGTTGGCAGTGAGTCACACACTTCACATCCTCTCTCAGTTTAGTGAGCGTGGGCTTTCCGGCTGTGCTGGTGATGGGTTTGTTTTCTCCAGGCATAATTTTTCTGTAACGGTTTAGTGGACAGGTGAGCTGCGGGCAGTGTGCTCACCTGCTGTCTTCATCGTAGCTAGAGCTCACGCGGATGTCTGAATGGCCATCTTTTGAAAACCCATCCGGAGCAAGTGGCATCTCGTTGTGAGTACTCTAATACACAGCGGCGTGTGGTTTTTTAGTTGTTCATTTGGAGTGGAGCCAGCTCAACTGTCACGTGGGAACACCACGGCACGTTTTGGCAATGACGTTTCAATCGCCGAAAATGTGCTCTACATCTAGTGTGGATTTCTAGCCCTGACACCCAACGGAAAGCATAGACATCTCAGGTTATTTGCTCCTCTAAGGTAAAAAAAGAAACACATCTAGGATGATTTTTCCCCCCTTGCGGTTACGTTATCGATCATTCTTATAACATTGTATGTTAATAGGAGATATATTTGCATAATATGCATATATATGTATATTTACCAAGATTTTGTTTTTCTTATGCTTGCTACCATGGCAGCATGCGAGGTCGTATTTTTCCTTTATGTGATGTATAAGTACTTTCTGTTACCTAGAAATTAAGATTGAAGCGAAAACACTTCTGCTGTTCAATTTCAGAAACTAAGAGACATCCTCATGCCTGTATTTCTGTATCCGACATATTTCATAAGCACATCCAGCTACTCCTAGGCTGACTAGGATTCTGCAGGAGCATGACCCCCACACACCACGCATCACCTCACCACCCATGACCGTTCTTGGAGGCAAAGGAAGGGAACCTGGCAACACACACAGTCGCTCTGGGTTCCTTCTGCTCCACAGCCTCATCCATATCTGGACTTTTTAAAGCTCGTAGAACGAAGACAAGGTGCACCGGTTTCATAGACGCAACCTTAACTTACTATTTAGATGAGATCTTTCTAAAGAAAAAAAAAGAGATGATATATTTTTTGTAAACAATATTTCTATCACAGGCATCCATAAACTGAAATGACTACAGGTGTGCAACAGGTGTCATGGTGAAGTCGAGCATTTGTAGAAAAAAAATTAAAAGCAGAATATGCAGGAAAAACTGCTAAATTAATACTTTATCCCAAAATGCCAAATATGCCTCGCCCCCTGTGTTCTATACAAAACAAACGACCAGAGTCTAGCCCAGCATCCTGACGGCTGGTACCAATGTCCTCCTCGGAGGGAGCGGCACCGCTTTCTGGGGATGTGTGTGCTGTGGACGATCGTCATGAGCCCACCCTACTTGATCTTTTTTTTTTTTTTTTTTTTTTTTTTGCTGGACGTAACAACTTTTAGTTCGTGAGCCTTCGTTAACGTGCAATGCCCACTATCAGATAAAACATGATCCACAAAATCTCATGCTAGAGGCAATGACTATAATACGCCCTTTCCCTTCCTTCATCCTTATCTCTTTTTAACATCTTCTCCCAGCCGCTGCTCTCTGGTTTTATTTGTACCTGGAGATTAAGCCAGTGATTTTTCTGTTTGTTTGTTCGTTTGCAGGTTTTTTGGTCCTTGGCTCTTTCTCCGACAATTATTTTTCATGGGTAACAATGGGGGATCCTAAAGGTTAAACAGATTGGGAAAAACCTTGTAAGTGGCCTTATTGTTAACATGTTAAAGAAAAAAAAAAGACCTTTGCAAAGACCTTATCCCTTTCAATACTTCAGGGATCTTTTTCTGTATCTGGTAATTCAAGGTGTGAGCTCCACATGCAGAAGAGGGACCCCAAAGTGCAAACGGCCGTGGGAAAGAAACAGTCGGTGGTCTGTTCAAGTGTGTGATTTATACTATTCAGAACTGTGACATTACTTACTACTGGGAGAAAAGTGATCTAAGACCTTTTCAATGCAAAGTTGAGGTACCCAAAAATCAAAGGCAGAGACCCCATGGGGCTCACAGAGCTGCAGTCTACTTCCCGAGGTTTTCTGGATATAAATTTGCATGGTATAGTCATAATAGCTTTTGAGCTTTTTATATGCATTTGCCACCAAGACTGGGATCCACAACTTTGTAGACACTGCGATGAAGTTAACATAATAGCTATACTATAAATAGTGTTTGTAATTACACACACACACATACATATATTCTGTAAAAAAAAAAAAAACTTTTTAAGATCCTTGGGTATGTGTTTGCTTTACTCCATTTCAGAAGAAAATTACTTTTCTTCTGATAAAAATTATTTTATAGCTTCTCCATTTTTTAAAGTTACGAGAAGTTTCAAGATGAGAGCTCTGTGCTAACAGAAGAGGGTTGAGTTTGATCCTCTGCTCTGTTAAAATGACCTCTCATCACTTCACGGTAGTCACACGGGCCAGGGAGTGAGCTGCGGTGAGGAACTCTGAGCCTGGACCTCTGAGGTTGTGAGGTGGCTGTCACCCACACCCAGACCTTTGAGTAAGGAGAGCAAAGTCTAATTGGTAATATAATGAGATTTCTTTCTAAACAACTGGAAGTAATACAACGTCAATTTTGTCATTGTTACGACCTGTGTTCAGACATGCTTGGGACAAATCCAGAGCCCTGTTACAAGACCCCAGCTGTCCCTACCACCGTGTTCCTCCTCTCAGTTGCCAACCCCCGGACCCTAGTGGGGTGTCACTGTCTATACCATGAGACATTCATTTCTCCTTGAACCTCAAGTGAACTAGAAAGTACGTCTTGATGATACTCTCATTAGGTTTGAAAGGCACATGTACATCGACAATATCGTGTGTTTCTAGTGCCGGCACCCAGAACCTTGACCTGCTCACTCACTCCCCTCAGAGACACTTCTCTCCTTTCCATACATGGAATGAACATTTCCCCCAAGGAGATCATCTCGAGGGTGACGCCCAGCGCGCCTGGGACTGGTCCTCAGGGGACAGGCACGTAGCACTCACAAGCCTTCCTTTTTAGCATCCAGTAGCTAACTAATCCCACAAGGGTGTGTTCTGAAAAGAGAATGTGTCCACCTTTGAATCTCCTGGCTTGAAAGTATAAACCATAATTTTCACCTTAACTCTCCACCTGAAAACCAGTTCATATTCCCCACCATTCAGTGTGAGCAAAACAAAACAATTGGTGAAACATTGTGTTACTCTTGGAATGGACTCTGGCTCTTACCTTAGTGGGGGCCGTCGGTCAAGAATGACATTAAATCTCGGGGCAAAAACTGCCCAGGTGGATTAAATTTTTCCAGGGCACTAGTGTGCCTTGGATTGATTACCTCTTCTACCAAATTGAAAGGTGCCGTGTTTTCCTGAAATACTAAATTCCCAACACCTGGGTAGACGGTGACCTCCCAGAGTGGCTCGCGCGTGTCTCTCCTGAGGACCAGCCCTGTGAACGTGTTCTCTCATCTCTGTCTCACATTTCCACTTCACAAGTCAGTCAGTGTGTTTAAGGTAAGTGCAGGAGTATTCTAGTAGGAATAGGCAATTGCTGTCATGATCAATTCCCATGTTGATTTCATTTTATTGTAAAGATAAATTCAAACCCAGTTTTGCTTAAGCACATTAATGTAATTTTTTGGTATTATTTGACATGAAAAAAAAACAGCAAAATTGAGTGATAGATACAATATGAAACTTGTTGATGAATGAATTCAAATTTATTAAAAAAGGACTAACTGACTTAAATGTGAAGACTGGCTTTTTTTATTCTTCCTTGGCTCCTTATCATTAAAATGGTGTGGTTATTTCAATTTTTGGTAGTATATGTCCATTTATGTTGTGATAAAAGTAAAAAGAAATGAGCCTCAAATTGATAGGATATGACAGAGATGTATTGAACTATGACTTTTTATTAAAAAAATAAAAATTTCCAGGTGCAATGGCTAACACCTATAATCTTAACAGTCTGGGAGGCAGAGGCAAGTGGATTGCCTGAGTTCAGGACTTAGAGCAAGAGTGAGACCTCATCTCTAAAGAATAGCCAGGTGCTATGGCAGGCTCACCTAGTCCCAGTTACTCAGGAGGCTGAGGCAGGAAGACCACTCGAGCCCAAGAGTTTGAGGTTGCTGTGAACTATGATTCCACAGCACTCAACCCCAGGGTGACTGTGAGACTCTGTCTCAAAAAAAAAGAACCAAAATTTACTCTTCACCTCAGACAAGAGCTTTAACTTGTCCCTGTATTCAATAAGTATTTTAAGAAAGAAATAGGGAGCCCTTGGCTAAGCTCTGGCCAAGCTGGTATTGATCTTTTCCTATAGTTCATCAATCTTATAAGGCAATTTCTTATAATCTGAGAAACCAAGCAATGTCTCAGAATGAATGAATTCAGATCTTGGACGCCTCCAACCAGGCAGAACTTTAAGAAATGTATCTCTAGGCTCCCAGGGAAGCTGTTGGCTCACCTGGAAATGCCTGAACAGTGGCCATAAGCTCCACAAAACGCCCTCACCTCAGTAGTGTTCAAGTTTTCTTCCAAATCACTGTAAGCAAAATAATGCAAATTATTCAGTCATTATTTACGGGTCCTGCTTTTTTTTTTTTTTTGTCATATGGACAAATTGTTCACAATTCTGGCTACTCCAGGACCCTGTCTGGGGCATACTCCACACCAATTCTTGGTCTGAAGCTGGAACGTCGCTGTGGACACATTTCTCACCTGCTTCATTAGACTAACACACTCTCCATCCCATGTAACGCCGTAGAAGAAAGAATTTTAACAATCTTAACTTACTTTCTTTAAGCCTCTTTTACAAAGCATCCTACTTTTTCTTCTCTCTTTTTTTTTTCTTTTTGTAGCATTCAGTTTTTGATTGAGTAAGGAAGCCTCTTGGAATGTGGGGTCCAGTTATACCCAGAGAGTTTCTGGCCAGTCTACCAACTTCTGGCCCAAGACTGTGGTGCCCACATGCACGTGTGGTTCCATTTTGCAATTCTTACCTCTTTACCAGCTTGTCAAGGGTAGGGCTTGTCCACTCTCCTTTGAATGGTAATGTTCTTCTTCAAAAGGATCCGACCCTTTGAAACCTGAGATACCATTTTCTACATTCAGCTTCTTGTAGCCGCAATGGCTGTTGATGGAGACTCAAACTCAGGGACTTTGGATTTTTATATAAACAGGTTCTAATAAGAATCAACAGGCCAGCAATGTAGGGGGAACTTTTAAGTAAAATGCAATTCACTGAAATGAGTGTGGGAGTGTGTGTAGATGAGCTGTTCTCAACCTGTGGGCGACCCCTTTGTAACAATGAAAATATATCGCAGCATTAGGAAGGTTGAGAACCACTGCTTTAGATTAAGATCCTCACACACCATTCTTTCAGGCTTTTCTCCTTCTCCCTTTTTACCTCCCCTCCTCTGTTAATGGTAACTATAATTTCAGCAAGGTTCAAAGCCTTTACTCTCTGCCTACACTTGTAAAATTGTGCGTCAGCATTTGATACTGCTTACGGATGGATCCTAAGAGTAGGCACATGCCTGAGCTGTATGACGTAAGTAGGGTTCAAGTGTTGGTATTTTATTTGAATGTATAAAGAAAGATAACTGGGAGGAGAAGGAAATAGAAATCTTGTTGTTTCTCTGCCTGTCAAGTGAGATCAGTCCATTGCAGGTAAGAAAAGAGATTGCTATCAGCTGTTACTGTGTCACCCAGGTTGAAAGCTTTTATAGCCAACGTGCTAACTGTGCTTTAGCCTTGAAGATTTCACCTATAAATTCTGAAAGTTAAAAACAGATTAGCAACTTTGATGTTATTAAGACTACATAAAAATTATTCAAAGCAGAGCTAAGCAGTTTGCTTAGGTTTTGTTCTGAACTTCACAAGTCCAGCGTCTCAACTTTGGGCTATTGGAAGGAAAATATTCGTAAGGTTCTGGTCACACGAATTACTTTCCTCACATTCTTTCATTTGATCTAAACCACGAGTGGTTTATGTCTGCAGCAAGACTTTCTTAGGTTTAATTTCTCCCTGTCACCTGCAAACACCCT